GCTTACATCACACTGACAGTCAATAGCAGAGAGATGAAGGGGTCCTTACTTGCTTGCTCCCTCATATTCAGCTTACTTTCTCCTGTCTTATATGTTTCAGAGTCCAAAACCAGGAAATGGTGACACCCTCAACAGGGTGGGCCTTCCTATAGGAATGAACAATCAAGACAATGCCCCCCTGACGTGCTCACAGGCAAATCTGATTTACATAGTTCCTCTCTCAAACTCTTTTCAGGTGATTCTGTGTTGAAAAGTTGACAATTAAAAGCTAATTATCACACCACAAAGGAGAAAAACAATCCCACAGGATTGGTTAAATGAAGTAGGGACAGGAGGGCAGAATAGAAGAAGGAGTGAGGGAAAGATAACACTAAAGGCTCTTGATAATATTTTATGGAAACCTACCTTCCTAAAATGCATACTTACATAAAAAGGAGTTAAATGGAGTTACCCTATAACCAGACAACAATGCCTCTACTGGATACCTCAGACTAACACATAAAAAGTTCAGTGCCAGCAATGAATTACCTCTTCTGGATTTGTTGGCCAGTGGTGCTGCACAGACCTCCAAACATTACAGACTGGACACTGCACTTGCTTACCCTCCAAAACTTGAGAAAAATACCCCTATTGCTGAAGACACCACATACTTTAGCCACAGAACATGAAGAAATCAAGCCGGTATTAACCTGGAAGCTGTATCCCTATTGGCTAGCTTTCATGGTGCTGAATGATATACATGCTACTGAGGGGGAAAAGGAATCACCAATCTTATCCAGCTGTGAACTCTGCAAGCTACAATGACAACCAGCGTGGAAACAGATGTAATGGGAATACTTTCTGATTGGAGTTAAGGCTCTCTGCACAAGACGGAAACCATTCCAAGAAACCATGAGCCCATACCTAGTATTATCAGAGTCAAGAAACCTTGGCTAGATAGGATTTAGACCCTAGGGGGAAACCTACCACCGCTATTCTGCTAAATAGACAGTATTTTTTAAAAAACCTCCT